TGGAATTTATGAGGTTTAATCCTTTGCGGAATCCAAGAGAGGCGGCTCGCCCCGCCGTCTTCCCTCTTTACCCGCTTCCTCCCGTCCCGCCGCCCCCCCCATCCATACCACGGGGTATACGATGGCTTAAGGGGATGGGGGTGGGCCGGGCCCGGCCCGACGGCGGCGCGCGGGGGCCGCACGCCGGAGACGCCGGGGTTCAAAGTGCATGAGGAAGAAAGCCCGCCGCCGCTCTCTCTCTCTCTCTCTCTTTCTCCCTCTCTCTCGCGTTCTCTGCCTCACGAGCGAAAGAGCGCGGCGGGCTTTAACGCCGGGCAATAAAACCCGTGGAGTGGCGTAATGCCTATACGAGTGTGATGCCCGCGAGTATATAATACCTGAGAGATACGTATACCTTTCCCTTCCCCTCCCCCCTCTCGCACTCACTCTTTCTCTCTCTTTCGTACAGGTGCACGGTGCGCTTATTTCCTGCGTTATTCGGCGAAACGTAAAGCGGAAATTAAAGCCGATAGACCGGGTAACGGCCCACGGCACGCGGATAATTATGTTCGTTTCGTTCGCGCCTCTCCCTTTCGCGGAATCGGCGGCGGGGACTTATTTGCATATCGGTGGCGTGAGTTAGAGTCATGTGTCCATATGTATCTCTGATATTGTCGGGGCACGCGGATACGCGTGTGTTCGATTCGAGGGCGGGTGGAGGACACGTGATAATTTGAGCGGAAAATATTCTTGTCAAAACTGTTGCTGTTAATAAATTACTCGTATTGATTGTGAATATTTAAAAAAAGAAAAAAAGTCGACGCGTTTCACGTTGATTGATGAATTATACAAGATCCGAGATCTTGGACCCCGAAATGAGGAGTGAAACGTGTTTTCTATATTCTCTTATAGTTCCGTCGAGTATACAATCGAGTCCGCGATACTTATCGTCCGCGATCAGTCCGGCGCGAAACTTCTTCCCCTCATGCGATTCGCTCGATACCGATAAACGTGAGACCGCCGTTTTCCGCTTAATGCCCTCTCCGCCGTTCCTCCCACCCTTCTCGCAGGACATAAACTTCCTCGCCTCCGTGCGTGCATCGCGGTTTTTTTTCCGCGGCGGCACGTCGCAGTCGCGGGGGCTGCAACTTCCTCGCCCAATTAAAAATAATTGAATGCAAAAATCCGCTTTAATTCGCCAACTTTCAGACACGGCTTGTGATAGGAGCTCGTAATTATGCGCGGGGACTATAAGGCGCGCGCTCCTACTGAAAGCACCTCTCGCGCCCCTCGCGTTTTTTTTGCCATCGTTGCCTTTATATTTTTACGACGAGTATGCATCACTCGGGTCACGACGGGTATACGGCAAAAGATACGGGCATATGTGTCGAGCTTTTATGCCGAAAAGAGGAAAGACGAGGAGAAGGGGAGAGGAGAAGGGAAAGGGAGAGAGAGAGAAAGGGAGAGAGCGCGATAAAAGCGATTCCGGAGGGAAAAAGTGAAGTGCTCGTATGCGATTTATTGTAATCACCACTAAAACACGGTATGCAACAATTTGCAGTGACGTTCAACGATGCGGATTCAGTGCTCATCGATCGCGTTCGAGCGATACGCCAGACCAGGAAAGGATAACGTTACGATGCCTCGCGAGTCTGCCGTTATTAATACTTTACGCCTCTCGCGCGCGATGGGCTACGAGAAAAAGGAAAAGAGAAAGAGAGAGAAAAGGGGGAGGGAAAAACGCTCGATACCTTATCGATCATGCCGAGTCTCGCGTCATACCTTGTTCGTCGCTCATTTACCGCGGCAACCGCCGATCGTATGCACGCGTATATAGGTTGGTGCGCTGCCAACCGCGGACGACAGAGATCCGCGCGCGATATGGTCACGCGGAAGACGCGGTGCCCGCTAATGGGTCGCATCACTAACGCGCCATTACTCGAATATTTCGAGCGACGTCGCACACACGCACGCACGCACGCACGAAAATTGGGTCTCTCTCTCTCTCTTCCCCATTTCCCTTCCCGGAGTTTAATTGAACGACCACCGGCGCGCGCGGTTTCTGAATGCTTGTCCGTAACGCCAAAACGACGAAATGATAATTGGCGCGTGCTTACGGCATTCGGCCGCGCGGCGCAAACCCGCTTTCGCCGCACGCGTAAAAATCGCTTGGCCTTTTGTCCGTCGTTCGTTCGCAGTTTCGTCGCGCGCAGTTAAATACACGCGCTCAATAAAAAGACCGTCCGCTTCGCTTTCGCGAACGCAAAAAGAAGGATGGATTTTCGATAATTTCCCGAACGCAGTAGACGTTCCGCCGACACTCGACTTTGCCTCCTCTCGTAAATTCCATTCTTCCCATGAAAATCGTGTTTTTTTTCCTTTTGTTTCCCCCTTCCGTATAGGAGAGGGCACGTATTATCACTTTGCCAAAGAGTGCCCATCGACGTTTTTATTACCGTCCTCATCATATATGGCGTGCATGCGTGAACGCACGTCACCGCTAATATTCCGCTTCCGCTTACGTTTCGCCTCGTCGCTTTCGTTAAAAATTCTAAGTGTTACACGGAAGGTAAATCTGCCGGTTTTTCGGTCTGGCGATTTCTCTTTTGCCTCTGTTTTCTGCACTTCCGAACGCACATTTAAGGTTTTTTGCCGAAAAATTTACATTTCAACTTGGGCGTTTCTGCGACAGAAAAAATCTGACGAATCACATTCAAAATTCCATGGTGAAAAAAAAAAAATTTCACGGCGAAACGATATAAGTTCCGTATTCTTACATTCGCACGTCTTCGATGAGGAAAAGCTTTTTCTCTACCGAAATCATTAATTCTCTTTGTGGATGCGTTAGTACGAGTCTCCGCCGGGCTTGGAAACATCGCGAGAAGCGGAAGAAATATCCAATTCTGAGAAGATAATAAGGCCGCGACACCGTCGATGAGCATCAGCGAAATGGGGTGAGCCACTTTTAGCAAGAGGCGAGAGAGGGGAAGGGGGAAGGGCGCGGTTCGTCGCTTCACGATGAAAACGAGGTAAAACGAGGAAAACCGCGATGACTTTCCGCGCGACCTACGATGCCCCGAAGCCCCTCTTTCTCCTCGGAATTTAATAAAAATCCGAGAGCTTCCGGGGAATCGAGCTCTCGCAACCCGTCGGGGCTCTACCCGGGGGAACATTATGCGTTTCGACTCTCTCTCCTCGGTGCATCGCCCTTCGATTCTATCTCGCTTCACTTTCCCTTCTATCGCACTTCTTTGCCCTTTTGCGTATCCCTCTCTCTCTCTCTTTCCCTTGTTTTTTCCTCTCTCCACGTCACTTTAGAAGACGTTTCACCCGTCTCGAGTAACTTCCAGACAAATTGCGTCGCCGAGCGGTGCTTGGGTCGACTATTTCGACGGAATCGTTTCGACGGAAATATTTGTTATATAAATATCGGTGGTACAACGTACGATTTGTTATTCGGTCAGCAGATCGATTGCGCGTCGTATATCGTGGAGATTGTACGGCTGAATCTTAATTTAAAGCAATCTCACAAGAAAATTACACGGAAAGAACGATTTTGTTGAAAGGTCTAAAAATTTTGCTAAAAACAGATCTGAAAATAATTTTTTGTTGAATTATCAAAATAATTTGTTGGAATATTAAAACTGATAAGTATTGCTAAAACGTTTTGATATTCTAGCAATCATTTTGACTTTCGCACAAAATTATTTTGATTATTGAACAAAAATTATTTTCAGATCTGGATTCAGCAAAATTGTTCTTTCCGTGTACGTCAATATAGGTCAAACAAAATAATTTATTTGAACAATTTTTTTATAACTGTTATTTTCAAAAATAATTCAATGTTTAAGTTTAAACTAACACTCTGTATAATATATTTAAAGTAAAAACAAATTCTTTCATTTAATATTCAGACAAAAATATTAAAAAACTTTTAAATATTTTAGGAAGTAATTCATGTATCTGTGTACTTTTGTGTGATATATAATTAAATTTAAGCTCAAAATAGTGTCAATTCCGCGACAACATGCCATGAAAGTATTAAAATCCGTAGGGAAAAAATAAACGCATCGACCATCATGTAAAAATTAACTCAACTATCTTTGTCGCCTGCCAGATTTAACGTTGCGCCCCGCAATTCTTTCTCACCCTCGCCTAAACTGAATGGACACGTCGAAACCGTGCAGGGAGAAAGAAGAAATCAGGGAGCGCATGCACGTGGCTGCGCGGGATAAACGCCGGATTGCAGAGCCGAAGCCGAGAGGCTATGGGTTAAATACTTTCCCGCTTCGGTATTCAGCTTCGTTTACCCGACAACGCAGATTTTCCCTTTGGCCCGATTCGCAAATGCATTCCTTTTGCGCCGATTCACAGAGGAAAGCGGCGGGCACGGCTGGGCGGGATCGATTGTACCCTTTGGATTTATCCTCCTGAGAGACCGCAGGCGGTGTTACACTTTGTAACTACGGCGCAACAACGAAACTACGAAGCTCCATGAGTTTCAGCTATCTGCCGCCCCTTTAAGCTCTCCGCGTAGAAAAAAATAAATAAAAAAAAAAGAGCGGGGACCGTGCTCATTCGCAATATTTTATAAGTTATAACAACACGAATGCGATTTCTTTAATATTTACGCGCGTTATTATTTATGCATGTTCAATTGGGAAAAGTCGCGCAAAAAACTTAGGAAAAAAATCGCATCAAAACTGCACGGAAAGAACGATTTTGTTGAAAGGTTAAAAAATTTTGCTAAATACAGATCTGAAAATCATTTTTTGTCAAATCATCAAAATAATTTGTTATTAAAACTGATAAACATTACTGTATAAAACGTTTTGTTATTCTAGCAATCATTTTGGCTTTCGCACAAAATTATTTTGATTATTGAACAAAAATTATGTTCATCAGATCTGGATTCTACAAAATTGTTCTTTCCGTGTGCACCGAGACAATATCGTTTCTTAATTTATTGAAAAAAGACCTATAATTATATGAAGACACTGTACGATAAATGGTACACTTACGATGCATTTCAATCGCTACCGACGTCGACACGGGTTGACTGATATTGTTGTTGGACGCTTGACAATCGAACACTGCGTGAAGATCTGCCCTTGATAATTCTCTGACGACCAGTGTGTTTCTACGAAGAGCGGGAAACTCGCCTGGCTCGTCCTTGGAGTCTAAAAGCGTTTCTCCGCGCCACCATCTTACTTTAGGCTCGGGGCGACCTGGAAATAAGTACCACAAAATTTATCAGCTTTGTCAGAAATAAAAGACCGCGATATTAAGTTGAAATTATTCGTACGCGTAATAAAATCTAATAACGTATTCTTAAGTTTAGCTCGTATTTTTATCTTTAATTTCGGTTTCTCTGCACAAAATGATAATAATAATGCATTAATAATAATCCTTATTGAAGATTTATGCGCATTAAAAATAGAATGTTATCCTTTGCCGTTTGCGATTTAAACACGGAAAGAACGATTTTGTTGAAAGGTCTAAAAATTTCGCTAAAAACAGATCTGGAAATAATTTGTAGTTGAATCATCAAAATAATTGATTAGAATGTTAAAACTGATAAATATTAAAACTGATAAACGTTTGTATTGCTATAAAACGTTTTGATATTCTAGCAATTATTTTGACTTTCGCAAAAAATTATTTTGATTATTGAACAAAAATTATTTTCAGATCTAGATTCAGTAAAATTGTTCTTTCCGTGAATATCGGTTAGACAAACAAAATCAAATTATTTGCAACGCTTTTGAGTTTTTCTATTTTAATTGTAATTGTGCAAATTAATATACACGGAAAGAACAATTTTGCTGAATCCAGATCTGAAAATAATTTTTGTTCAATAGTCAAAATTATTTAGTGCGAAAGTCAAAATGATTCCTAGAATATATATATAGAATATAGCAATACTTGTCAGTTTTAACATTCCAACAAATTATTTTGATAATTCAATAAAAAATTATTTTCAGATTTGTTTCTAGTAAAATTTTTAGCTCTTTCAACAAAATTATCGTTCTTTCCGTGCATGCTCGCTCGAGTTATTAGATTATTGGAAAATATTGCGTTAAAGTTAGTAACGACATAAATTTCGACAAAATATATATATTACGTATATGTCAATAATAATTATCTTCTAAGAGACATTTTGACATTTTTATTGTAAAAATGTGCAATATTTTCCATCGTTTACCTTGCTTCGAAATTTTTCAAGAATGCATAAATTTTTAAAATGACTGCTTTCTTCGCGAAAGAAACCACACGCGTTACTACGGTATCGACATGTCGGCCACGCTATCCACGGTGCAACGTATCGCACGCGCGTCCCTTTCTGTCTTACTAGTTTTTACCGCGCGAGAGTCCGTCAAGTTTCCGTGCATATACGTACACTCGTCTCCTCCCTCCCGCCCCTCCTTTCAACCGTCCATATCGGTGTAGACTGCGCGGTGCGCGTTAATTCATAATTCATAATGGTCGTTGCGTGCGGATAATCCCCCGAGGGTGAATATCCCGTTAAAGGGAGGCGGCGAGTGGCGGAGGGGGCGGTCTAGCTTGTACCGGAGCGACCTCATTATTTTTTACCGGACCTATTTTCGTTCGGGAGGGACAAGCAGAAAAACACGCGCGGCGGAGGGCGGAGGGCGGAGGGGGTGGTTGCGCGCGGGGTGCGGTGGCGCCCGAGGGAGGGGAGGGAGAGGGTTGTAGGAGTAGAGTGGAATTGTATGGGCGGCGGTGAAGAGCGCGGCATAAGAGGTGGCATAGCACTGTCGTGTCCCTCGGGTGGCGGCATGCGAGGTAATAAAAATAAATTTATTATCGTTATTGCCTTCGCCTTGCCCGACACAGAAGCGCCGCGCGGCCGGATATTAAAATGTAATAGAATAAAGGGGAGCGCCGAACGAATGCATGCACCGCCCGCGACCGCCGGCCGTTTAAAGCACTCGACGTTTTGTCGAAAGCGTTTAACGATCCGAGGGTGCAACGGTGCCCTTTTAATTCCGTATTTACACGAAGGTATAAACGTCCGCGTGCGAGGGATAAAAAACGGTGTTTCAGAGAATCTATATATGGTAATAATAAGGTGATACTTATATTCGTTCTCTTTTCGCCATACAGGAACTCGGACTATGTTTTCGTACAGCGTAACGACAACGTGTAATCGAGCTGTTACGACGACTGCTGCGCGGGATCAAAGGGGAAATTATCGGACACGGTGAAGAGTACGGCGTTGGAAAGGTCATGCTGAGTTTTTAGAAATTCTCGCGCCGGACCGAGTGAGCTCTGAGAAAGACGTTCTTCATCCGCAGTATCAGAATGCGGTCGTGTGAAGTTTTAATTAGACACTAATGACGCTATAACTAAGAATAACACGACTTCGGTCTGCGGGATGAACGAGAGTCGTGGCTGTTTTACATGCGAGAGCGAGAGAAGGAACGGTTGTGGAACCCGCCAGAGAAGAGAGAGTTCCATTCCCACCGGTCGTGACCAATTATTCCACCCGGCTCTTTCGCGGCGTATTTACGTCGGGCAGCCGCGAAAGAGAATACTCACGACGTATTTTCATTCGACCCGCTCTCTCATTATAGAAAGTAGGACTTACCCCCGGAGACGAGGCACTGCAGTCTCATGTCACCACCTTCTTCGTAAGGGCCGGCCACCGCTGGGACGGTCTTACCGCGCTCGTCGATAATGTTCGGCTTCTGCGGCGGTACTGTAAAGGGAAAAAAAAACAGATGAAATGCCAAGTCCGTCGTGACGAGTACAAATATCCTGAGACGCTTAAGAGGAAGAACGAAGTAATTACTTTAGATCAGTGGTACCTGCTTAAAAAGAAGTGCAAAGGGAATTTATAAATGACTTTAACAGTAAAAGAACTGTACGTATATTGTAATATTAACATAAGATACTAAAATAAATAATAATTTGAATAATTAAAATAATATCTATAATTCTATCTATAATTTATCATCCGTACAAAATCTAGTGCATTCCGATTTCGATTCCATAGAAATTCATTCATTTTATATATACGTTATTCATCAATCTAGCTGTTTATTTAACGACATTATCTTTTTGCAGCGTTGACGTACACCGAAAGACGGTAGATCATGCATTATATAGCACCGTATAATTATAACTGACGCAAAAAATTTCGCAAATTGAATCGCCGCTCGCGAATTAAGTTTTCATTTCGCGAGTTAACATCTCGCCACGATTTCAATTGCGATGAAAAAGAAAAAAAACACGTAAAAAGGTATTTGCAAAATTTAGCCGCCTTTGTTCAGTTACGTGGCCGCGCTCGCTTTCCAGTCGAGAGGTACGACGCACGGTGCGGCCAATCGTTTCGAGCGGTTTCGAGTTTGACCGCCTCTGACACCACTACGAGCTATTTAAGCACAGATAGGAAACTTTCCATGTAAGTCAGTGGCGTCCGGGGAGGAGTAATTCACGATACTCGTGCCACGGGCGCCGCACGAATAGTCGAACGAGCAGGTGTACAGGTGTTACAGGTAACCGCTGGAAACTCGTGCGGACGAGTGAGCAGGCACGAAGCGAAGGCACGAGCCGGATAGTATAGTTTGGCGAAAATGTTGGCTCGATGCCGCAAGGAAGGTGAAGGATGCGGAGAGCAAGACCGGCGGCGTCTTCTCCCCGTCATCTCGCGAACGTGTATTAATACGTATAGACGTTGATTAACAATCTTTACGTTATTTTCCCAAACTATTCCAGATTTTGCCAGACGCAAACGGAAAGGAACGGCTCCTCGTAATTGGATTGGTATCAGCTACGATATCCTTCCGCGATAACTCGCAAACCTCTTATTATGTCGGTAATTCGTACACCTACCCGCGCGCAATAAACCATTTTGCGTGCAAGGAAACAATGCGGCAAGGTATCAAAAGGGCACGTAAAAGGAAGGAGGAGGAGGAGGGCGGGGGAGGGTCACGCGGGGAATCCTTCCCCGGACCCGTGTATACTTCGCTCCCGACATGCGGACGGGTGGAAGAAGGGTTTCGGTCGGTCTATCGTGGCGTGTAAACGCTCGGCAATTGAATATCGGAAATAGCGGCGTGTCGGAACGTCAGAAGGTGAGTGGCGAGCACTATTGCTTCGAGGATAGGCTGCAGTCGCGGTCGGGATGTCGGATGTCCGAACGAAACAGGGTTCGCCCTATGAAAATTCACGACGGCGTACGGCGGATGAATCGATTGGTAACTCGACCTGATTCCGTAAACGCTGGAATACCTTTTAATCTTTTAACAATTTCAATTTAAAAACCAATACACCGAAAAGTCCGCATTTCTATAAAGCACTTTATAATTGAGTGAATCTTATCATTCAGTTAACACACATTAGGCACGTATAATCAATCATCTTAGATGATGCGTTATTACTATACGTGATATAGTCACGTTTTTCTGTAATTATTACATATAATTAAGGACATGGCCTTAGAGGCCGTAATGGCTTTACATATTATATATCTCGTCCATCGAAAGCTAAAATTCATATATTCTCCCTTATAATTATTCTCACGGATGCGCGCGCGCGCAGACGCATCCGCAGGACAAATTGAACTGGTGAACCGAATGGGAAATAAACTGGATTAACACGGATGCGCGAAGTTAAGCCGTCGGTCACGATATCGTGCAAGTGAGAAAGTCCCGAACGTGAAAACGTTACCCGATACCGGAAATAACGACGAGTGAAGCACCTCTGAAAATAGGATTATCGTACCACCCTCTATATTTTGTATCGAGTGTAATCGATATATTAGTGGATTCTTCGGTATTAATCGCAATCTCTCTCTCTCTCTCTTTCTCCCCTCCCCCCTCTCTCTCAATATCCACTAAATATCAGCTTAACATACGGCAACCACTCGGAACATATACGCAAACTAAATTATCAAAACGCGTGTTGGCGAGGTACTTGAACTCTCGCGTTTGCAAGCGACGCGGATTGTGCCGCAGATAACGGCCGGATAATTGATTACGCGAGAACATAATAAACAGGGCATGTGTTTGCACGCTTTTAACTTAATGCACCATTATAATATCGAGTGATCTAACATAACCCGCAGTGAGCTGTGTATAAGCTTTTGGTCGCTGGGGAGAAGCTAGGAATCGGAAAACTAAGTCCTTGATAACACAGCTAGGTTCACAGAGGTGTCAAAGCTGAGAAGTTACGCGTTTTCAAAAATGATAATCAACTTAACTTGTGATATTTCCGAATAAAAGTTTTGTCCACAAATAATTCAAAATTGAAGATAATGTTACGTATGTAGCTCAACCAGAAGATTACCGTATAACAATTAATTTCACACTTTTAAATTTTGCTTATAATATAACGGTAATTTTTCCTTATAAATGTTTTGTAAAACGCGGATTATAATACATTTTATTATTATTTTTTATTTTAATTTCCGCGAAGTTTGAGAAATGATTTTGTAACGGCAACCGTTTCCATTGTTCACTTCATGGAAGAACGGGACACTTTCAGTGAACATTTTCGCGTGACAAATGACATGCTGGAATTTAACGGGTTAATTTGTAGCACCTAAGTTTCACATCGGCGGCGAGTCGACGTGTCCTCGCAAATCATGATGTTTGGTACGTGACGCGAAAGAGGAATTGTCAGAGCGATACCGTTCGCAGATATGAACGCGTTTCGAAAATACGAAGGTGTGTTTTCTGTTGCAGGACGTGCGACCGCGGGCACAAGTAACCGCAATTACTCGCTGCGCCGAGAGAAAAAGAGATAAGTTCCTTTCACACAAATCTTCAGTGTCGGAAGTCGATATTCGAGTCGGCCAATTGAAAATCGAACGCCCATTTGCTCGAAAGCTTGTCCACTCCTTGCGAACGTTTCATGTCGAACGTCTCTTTGACGAAAAGTTGCATCGAGCATTTTTATTAATTGAATAACTTTTTACGCGCAAAATGCCCGCTGTCGCGGGGCACGGTACGCGTACAAATGCACCGCCGGAGTCTTGTGGAAAACCTTGTGGAAAAAGTTGATATTTAATTTAGCGTGGCCCGATAGCGTCTCGACAGCGAGTGTTTCGTATACGTAAAAACGTTTCATCTGTTAATGCAATAGTAAGATTCCTCCGGGGACACTGACCGCACTAGTAGTTTTTCCGAAGGGTTCCACCACCGTGGAGCGAACATCCAGTAAATTGAGGAATCGTGTAACAAAGTCCTTTTCCTGGAAAAGTACGCTTTTGCACGGAGAAGTGCCCTTTGCCGAAAGAAACGTCCAATTCCGAGGTGGACGTCGCTTTTGTAAAATCTCATGTCTTTTCTTTCCAGGATACATTAAGTTTCTTGAAGTGTACAGTCGGCGCTTTAAACGGAGATCAAACGTTCTTTGTAACAGATAAATGGTGTTGCGACAACGACTACAAGAAAGGAGGAACAAAAGAAAGACGTTAACTGTAATATTAAGGAGGCGCTGCAATATTTTTTTTTCACAGAGACTACTCTCTCACAGAGTAGAAAAAAATGTGCTACTTCAGTGCTTCAACACACAAAATAATTTCCTTTCTGAATGTTACACCACGTTACATCTAATGAGAGTCACATGATGTTAATTGTTCCACGAGAAAGTAGCAAAAGACGTTGCCCGATACAATTCTCGTGTAATTAAAACAATTTACTAGAAATTAAAATAAAATTCACAAGTTATTCTTTCGAATAGAAGTGCCGGATGAGAAATGTGCAACGGCAACGTTGAAAAGTTGACTTCGTCAGATGAAACATGTATATATTGTAACGCTCGCGTTAATTGAAAGAAAACGTATTGTATGAATTTAATTCTCAAGTTTGATATAATAATAGTTGATTCAACTTAACATACAGAAAGTTAAGAAATACGAATGATATAGCGCGATGAAAAACGCAGGATGCGGCAAACGAGGCAACGAGGATTGCGTGCTCAACTATCCTAACTATGTGAAACTGACTAGCGGAATTTGCTTGCACATTGTTTTCCGCAGAGTATGAATTTTCACGAGTGCTGTGGCATAATAGAATTGTATCAGAGTTCCATTGCGAGACGATCGATAAATTATAACTTCGTTGGGAATAACGGGAGCGTCATTTTAATATTCTTCAATAAATCGCGAGAGAAGGGGGGGAGAGGGAGAGAGAGAGATATGAAGTTATTCATTATTAGCTATACAAATCTATTTTAAAATATTAAACGAAATTACATTAATACGTGAAATGCAATTTATTCATGCGATCATTCGCGTTAATCGATTCATGCCGAGCTATCTAAAATATTGACACGGTGCTCTGCGCATGACGGTTGAATCAATGACATGCTGGCGTAAAAGTGAACATTGAAGCGCGATAAAAGTTCCGATGATCGCGAAATAAATGACGGCTTCGAGAATGTATAATATGAATTTACATATATTAAAGTAATTGCAGGATTAGTTATTTTTTAATCGCTCGAAAAAACCAAATTGATAAATTTAATTTTTACGAATAATCGTATAAATATTGTAAACGCAATAATTTTTTTTACATCGGTCTTGCTTATTAGTTTTTCTTTTCATACTAGTAAAACTGTTAAAATTCAGAAACAAAAAAGAATAATATATTAGTGTATATCTTTTAATGTAAAAATTTTGAAAATTTTGTATATTTTAATATATACAATTGTCATTCAATAAGATACGAACCTATCACCGTCATTTGAATTCTGGAGTTTCTAGTCGGATTTGTGGTGAAGTCCACTCGACACCTGTAGTCCCCTTCGTCCTGCTCCTGTACGTGGTTAATGCTCAAAGTTGCTGGTTCTGTTGTTGTCCGGAATAATGCCCGGTCGCCGAGATATTCTTTCTCGTGCCAGTGCAACGGTTTTTCCGAATGCTTGCCACGCAGATCATAACTGAAACAGACATTTCCTTCACTTACTTCGTATTCTTCACTTGTTACAGTTGTTGCGAGAAAGAATGCGACATCATAGATATTGCAAATTGACGTGTAGATACATGCAAATAATATGGGATACTCTAATCAAATATTTCAAGGAATTTAAGAGATAATGTTATCTTGCTTATAACACACAACTAAGATGTGTGCGAAACATCCAAGTTGCCAAATCTGTTTTAATTAAAATTTTTTAACTAATCGGCTTATACACATTATAATAAAAATATGAAAGTGTATCAATATGCTATATAAATTTCTTCTAAAGAGTAAATTCTTACGATGATGGTATCTTGGAAGAGATCAAAAGATCTTAATAATAAATTCAAAAATTAAATCCACCTCCCATATTTATAAGGACATTTTATTCGAGTGGATTATTTCTGTTGCAAACTTGATTTCTTTCGTACGTTTTTATTATAGGATTAAGACAAAGTTTTGCCGAGGATCCTGTAATCTGGAGAAAGAGAATAGCGCTTGCAGTACGATCTGGTATATAAGCGAAAATCGTTTCGCGAATAACGCGTGCTCGGGCGTGACTGCGCCATATGTCGCTTTATGTTTTTAGCTATTTCCGAGTGCCGAGAGTAGCGCGGATCACGATGAAAAATAAAGTGAAACAAATGCAAAACTTCAGAACTAATATCGCGACAGGAAGAGAATTTCGTTAACTCTCGTCACTCTTCACTAAACGCCTCGCACATATTTGATGGCGAAGTTGGATAATAAAAGACACATATGACGTAGTGGAAAGAGCATAATTTCACTAATTAATTTAATATGATATAAGCTCGCTTTTGTGAAATAAATTTTGCATTTTAAATTATTTTAACTTTATGGCTAACACTAAAAAAATTATAATATATTTAATTGAATATAAAGTTCGTATCTGTCATATTAATTGCATTATTATATTTCTGTCACACAGGATAATACCAGTAGGCAGTAACACATTTATTTCAAACCTTTTTCTATACAATCTCATAATTTTATTATGAGATCACAAAGCTATGTGCACACGCGATAAATTATTGATACGAAATTATTACATTTCTTTAAATATCAGAATTTAGGTATATTATACGCGTCCCAAATTTTTATCTCATTTGACTTTCATATCTTCAGAAATAAATGCTAACCGGATTAATCCTACATATTCGAATTTTGTCGTCGACGATGCATAAAGCGATGCAGCAAAAATCATGAGTCGTACTGTATGCTCGAGGTGTTAATTAAGAATGTATCGGCCAGCCGGTTAGCCTCCACACTCACAGTCAGACGATCGGGTTTTACAAGGGAGATCCGCGCTCGCAGCCGTCCCGACGCTTCACCGCAGATCGCCCCCGCAGTGCGATCCCACCGCCCTCGCATACCTCGCCCCCGAGACATCGGGTGAGCATCGAATTTGCGGAAATACCACGAGTGCCTCGTCTGGTACCAGATTCGGCCGCGCCGTAGAGTTGGAACGGATGTGGCGGACCAAGGGAACGGAGGCGGGCCGAGCTAGGAGAGGACGGTCGCGAGGGTTGGTGATGGTTAGAGCGTCGG